TGGTCACTTTTTGAATTGTTCGAATTGACAGAAATAATGAGACAAAAAGATGATAAGACTTTCGCTATTGCATTAAGTAATATTGCGAAAGGAATGATGACACTTGAAGATATTAATTTATTAAAATCACGAATTGTTTCAAATGAAAATTTGGAAATCATGGAAGATGCAATAAGAGTATTTCGAAGTAATGCTGAAGTTGATGCATATAATACAAAAGTATTGGCCAGTCTTAATACCGAAGGTGCAATCGCTAATGCTTATGATTTTTGTATTGGTGATGGACTTGCATCAATAAGAGAAAAAGTTCTAAACAACGTAAAGAATCTGAAAACAACTGAAACTTACGGTTTACCACTTAAAATTGATTTGAAAGTGGGCGCTAAGTATATGATGACAGTGAATATTGACATTGAAGATGGATTGGTAAATGGCGCCTGTGGAAAATTGATAATGATTGATTATGGAAAGCTGCAAAAGACTAATGAGACAGTACCATGTCGACTATGGATTAAATTTAATGAAGAGAAAACTGGAAGAAAAACCAGAGCTAATTTTCAAAATGTAATGCGATTAAGAAATATTGATCTCAGTCTCACGCCAGTTGAACCAGTAACACGGCAAATAAATACAAGGTCAACAAATTTCAAAGTAGAACGTAAACAGTTTCCTGTAGTTCCTTGTGAAGCAATGACGATATATAAAAGTCAAGGTGGTACTTATGAAAAAGTCGTTGTCAATCTAAAGAAAGGGATGACACGATCTGAATTATATGTCTCTTGTAGTCGTGCAACAAAATCAAGTGGTTTATATTTAATCGGCGACTTCGTTCCACCAAAACCACCTGAACGTAATGATGCAGTAGCGACGATGTTCAAAAGCATGAGATCCGGACGAATGCTGAAATTTTCACTTGAATTTCCTGAAGAATCTCAAGGAGAAAGATTTTTCGTGATGTTTCATAATGTACAATCATTGAATAAACATATTTTGGATATCAGATCTGACAAAACATTTTTGTGTGCTTCTATGATAAGTCTTGTTGAAACATGGACAAAACCTACTGATTCTTTGGAAATTGAAGGTTTTAAAGTAATTTACAGACGTGATTGTAATGATACACGAAAACCATTCGGTCAAATCACTTACTTAAAAAATGATTTGAAATATGAAAATATCACCGAAAGATGTGAATATTCCGGGAAAGACCATATTGAATATTACTCAATAAAAATTGATAATATTTGTATTATTTCCGTTTACAATTCACCAAATTCATCATTTGATGTCTTAAAACGACATATTAATGAAGTTATATCTATTTCAAAAAGATTCTGTGAAGATATAATTGTTGTTGGTGATTTCAATATAAATTTGAAGATAAAAACCAACCACAAATTCATTGAATATATGGAGTCATTCGGGTTGACTCTGATTAATAAATTAAATAAAAGTTCAACTAATGCTAAAACACAGATTGACTATTGCTTCACTAATATGAATGACTTAAAATCTGATTATTTTGAAAGTCTTACAAGTTTTCATAAACCAATATGGATAAGAAAACATAAAGTTTTGACTAAGTTTCATTTTGATGAAACCGAAGACATCCGTACAAATATACCTTTTCATATCGAAGATGTTATAACTGATGATCAATCTGACACGATGGAAGTCGATGAGAAATTCGTTTTTGAATGCCATGAAACAGTCGATAAAAACGAACAAATTGACTTAGATATGTCTTTCCATTTGGGAGATCTCAAAGTTAATGATCCATCTGATATGATGGATATTGAAGAAAAATCTTCTTCCGAAAATCATGAAATCATTGATTCAAACTCGAGAAAGATTCTTGATCAATTTCTTCTTGTACTTGATTTAAATAATACTACAGACACTGATCAAATCTCAAGTCAAGCTCAAGTAATCAATGATGTAATTGAAAAATCGCCGTTTATAACTATGCAAAATAAAGACCGATTCGTCCGGTTAGAATTGGAAACAGAATATTCTGTTCAAGCATTTGACTCAGTTTATGCTCGAACCAGCACGACTGCAGATGGCAATTGTTTATATAGTTCTCTTTCGATATTAAATATTGGATCTGAAAAACTAACACATTCGATGAGATTGTTGGCAGTAAATGCAATGATCAATAATAGCGATTATTTCCGAACACTTTGTAAATCATTGGGTTATTCATTTGAAGACCAGTTGAAAAGAACTGCTAAGCATAAAATATGGGGTGGAGAAGTTCAAATTCAAGCTCTCTCTATAGCTCTATCTCATCCTATATATTCATATACCCGATTTAACAACAATCCAGAAAATAGGCATTATATACCACCGAATATTAGCTTGGAGGAATTGATCGATCGATTTAATGAACGAACAGCAGGTGGTCATTTGAAATACGTAGGATACAAATCCGACATGAATAAATTAGGATTATGTGTTTACTACAATGGTATCCATTATGATGCTCTCTTGCCTTTTGAAGATAATCCTCAACAATTTGTACCACACTTTGACATAATTAACATGAGTTTATAAAAAGAAACACGATTCAGCTAAAGCAAAGAAGTTTATGCGAATGAATAAAACTTCCGGAACTAACTCCTCGCCACGTCCTACGGGACAAAAAGAGGGCATCCGCAGGGCCTAAGGGGCAGTTCCTTAGTGCGCTCAAGGATGAATATTTTAGACAGTTTAATAATAAAAATTAACTATCTTCAGTGTATGCTTGGCATTTTAACCTTGTCTCGTGAACGGTTTGGTTCTTTGAGCTAAAGAAGGTCTCAATTGGACAGAAAACAGTTTAATCTATAAATTCACCACACCCAAGTGAGTAAGTTATGAGATAAAAAAGTGAAGAAACGATTCGTTAACCCAACAACTTTTGTTCAGAATTTTCAAAATCTGACTTCAGATTCGGATTCACCGACCCCGACTTACTTTCGTCAACCTTTATAAAATATCGTTATTTTCTTAAAAAATCCTTTCTTTGACCCAAACAATGGAGTTCAAAATTTTCAAAATCTGACTTCAAATTCAGATTCCTCGACCCCGACTTGCTTTCGCCATATAATAGTTGAGGTTTTATTTGACTATGATAGGAGAAGTTTTTTACGAAAGCGGAAATGGGTCGATTTTCGCATAGGAAGCCATAGGAAAAAATGAGTATTTTTGCAATAACCCAAGAATGGTTCAACCAATTCTTCCCATCTTCGAACTCGACCGAGACATTGTTTAGACTGAACTGTGTAGAAAATTTCATCGCGATTGGACTCTCCTTTCAAAAGTTATCGTGTTAACGGACGGACGGCCGGACGGCCGGACGGACATACTGACCGATTCTAGAGTGTACTCACTTTTTGAGTACACAAAAAAGATATTCTTATTGTTATTTTATTTTTGAATATTGAATAATTATTATTCAAATTAATATCTATAAAAAGTTTAACTATAGAATTAATCTACCTAATATTGAATCCATGCTTAATGGTAATTGTGTTTGTTGATGTATTGATGTTTGTGATGGTTCAGGATAAGTTTGTGTTGGTGTACTAGCATTTGGATGATATTTATTTATAGAAAAATGATGTTTATTACTAATTGTAATAATAGCTTGTATAGAAAGTGCTGGATTTGTATTAGCAGAAACATGAATAATAGGTGCATTTGATGAAAATTTCATTATCATTGATACATCTTCTGGTGTACTAAAATATTTAAATTATTTTTT